TTGAGCTCTATTAAAAACACAAAAATTTGAACAGCAAAAATCTAAGGCAAAGATTAGCATCGAGAGCCGAAAAACGAAATTGGCCTTTGCAGGAGGGAGGGGAGTGGGAGTGTGCTTGAAACAGGTTCTCACGCCAGCCGAGGGAGTACAGCCAGGACCACCTCATCTGCAGGAAGCGTAACTGAAATTGCTGCCCCCAGCTCCTTTCTACCTGTTTCGTACTCCCTGAGAAGCCGGCCCAGCCTCTTGCTTCCAGCTCTGGGCTTCTGGCTGTGCGAGCAACAAGTGAATGACAGGATAATCGTCCTGTGTACCTGTTCGGTTTTGTGCAGGCCGGGCAGGGTCGGACAGGGTTCCCCTTTGTTTTGCTGGTGGTGCCCGTCCTCTTTTCCACCGATCTTTTTTTGGCATGTGAACAGACTCGCATAAAATCTCTTAATGTTTGCATTCTTATGCGGCTGTCGTCTCGTTTGATGCGTGATCTTGTTGATTATGCTGATGCCTGGTCGGTTAGGTTCGGTTCAGTTCAGTTCAGGTCGGTTCGGGTATGTTTTACCCTTCCCTCCCTGGGATGGAATCGGAATTGAGATCGAGTGAGTGTGGCTTGTGTGTCTCTGTCCCGCTCTGCGGTGGAGGTTTCTCAGGCCAGTCACTGCAGCGGCAGGTTCAACAATCGTCCATCCTGGTTCATATAGTTTTTGTGTTCCACTTGCGAGTGTGAAATTTCTGCTTGTTTGGCATTCATGGAAATTGCCTATGCCTCGGAATTTGTGGGAACAAGTGCAGCATCAACGGAACGGCAGAAGCAGCATCGACCACATTACGTGCTCCTTTTTTGCGAATGAAAGAAAGAACACCCGCAGGCGGGAGCGTGTGAAATTCAAGTTTTTGGGAACGATTCTTGCTTTTTTATTCTTTTTTTTGTTGTTGGCAAATTCAATGTATGCAGAGTTATTTGGTGGGAAAGACATGTTCACAACAATGTTCCAGAGGATGTAGGGACTTAAACGGCTTAGCTGTAAGCAGGAATACGTCTAAGTACAACAGTTTTGTATGAAAGGTTCGGCATGGATACTCACAGCACAGAATTAGTTCTAAAGTAACCGAAAATATTACACGTCTTTGAATGGCCACCAAAAACTATTACTACATACGAGTGGGTCATTTTTTGGGTAATTTCAAAATGTCACTCATTGGACAATTTTCGTGATTAGAAGCTTGCCAAAGTTAAAGGGGCCTACAAAATGGTAGTTCAACTTTGGCTTTAGCCATTGTATGGACACATATTTTTTTTTTCAGCGCGCTATAGAGGCCGAGTAAAAAATGAAAGTGTGACTTGGTGAATTTATAAAAAAGGTTTTGGGGGTGTATTGCATATTTTAGGTAAGGGGATGTGATATATTTTACTAGTCCGTGCAAAGTTCATTCCAAGTGCCTCATTTTGTGTAAAATACGTTTTGCTGAAGTAGAATATGGGCACTTCCTATCTGGCGTTACGTTACATTCGTACGACAAAATGTTGAAAAAAATGGTAAAAAAAATTTGGAAAAAAGATTATGCTTGCTGAATATAATTTGGTTAGACCTATATTCACCAGAAAAATGGCAAAGTTTTAAAGATATAAGCCAAATTATGAGCTAAAAGTGCCTTACATAAAACAGAAGTGGTTTCCGAGGTTGGGGTACAAAATGGCAAAACTTTGCGAATTGAATAGGGCTATCTGTATAACAATTTTTTTGCTAATAAATGAAGTATTGAGAGTTAGTTTTCAAACTTGTTAAATGTAAAAACTTTTTCTATTTTTTTGTTAAAAATCCGCGGAGGCATCTGGCGAACGTTACTGGCGTGACGTTACCAAACTCCGCGATTATAAAAGCCTAAAAATATACTGTTAGCCAAGGTTGGACCAACGTTCTGATAATGGTTTTAGGTAGTTTAATATATAAGAAAGACTTTAAGGAGAAACTTTTATCAAGAATCATCTTCTTCCTAGGAGATAATAGTAAAAGAAAACATGTCTATAAAAATACCAAAAAATACCATAAACGTGAACTTTTGCTTATTTTCATAGGTTTTAGGATGAAAGTTAATGCAATTATATGTGAATAATGTAAATTAGTTACCTTTCAATAAATTTAGAAAAAAAATATCCGCAAAATATTATATGGAAATCGGTTTTTATTGACTTTTTATGATATTTGGCCTGGTGGAACTTTTGGCGGAACTGCCCATATATGAAAATCAATCATCCAAATTCAGCAGCTGTTCTACTTCAGTTTTGAAGGTACGCGCATTGCAGCAGCACCGCAGCACTGAGCGTGTTCCATTTAATTAAAATTCCAGCAACCTGCTCTCCGCGCGGACCCGCTGCTACGAGTACTGTCGCCGCTGATGTGTGTTTTGTGCCCTAAAGTGCTGTCACCTCAGTCCCGCACGCATCTTGATTTATGCGCTTGCATCGAGAAAATTAAATAATAAAAATGAAAATCTGTAACAAAATGCTGAAGTCTTGTGTCGGATTCAGAGCTCACCGGCCGCCGCCGCCGCCGCCGCGCATGCGCAATAAATTCGGTTTTTATGACACCTGACAAAATACGCAGCAGCAACTGCAGCAGGAGTTGCATATGGAGTTACAGCTCGAAGCTTGAGGTGGACGTGGGGATGGAGATGGAGATGGAAGCGGCTGCTTCAGTTGAAAATTGTTTAATGACTAATGGCAGAGCTGGGCAGAGGCTGCTGCGGATACCGCGGATGCCGCCGAGCTTCGTTTATTGCCCTGTGTCTATTGAAGATTAATTTCATTTACACAACTTCATCGCCTCGACGCGTCGCGACGTGGTCTTCGCGGGCAAGGCTCGGACTGGCTGGCTTAACACTTTGTTGTCCGCCTGGTTGCGTTTTGGAGTTAATAAAGTCATAAATTGTGTTACCCTGGGCCGCTTCCAACTCTAATGCGCCACGCAGCAGTTGGAGGAGCCGCAGCTCAAAGCCGCGTCTGTAGCGGCACCAATCGTTACGTGTCCATGTGTTTTTATTGCTTCTTTTGTGAGTGCCCACTGGTGTCGGATCCGAGAGGAGGAGACGCAATGGTGTGGTCCACCGAGCTGGCAGCATCTGTTGCGGATTAGAAACGGAGCTCTGCTGCCAGCGATGGCGTAAGAGCAACTAAATTGATTTTATATACCCGAAAATTTACAATCCACCAGCTTATGATCTATCTATCATCATGCACTGTTAAATCAACCATCTCTGCACAGGATAGGATGCTGCAAGTGACATACTCGTGTTTGTTTTCGAACTTAATTAGTTAAATATATTGAAAAACAAGGAACAATAATTTGCATTTAATGTTCCGGACATTTCCCAAATATTCATTTGAGGAAAGACTCCTTCTTGTATATTTTTGAGAAATTTGGAATAGCTTTCTAGAATAGAAGTCCAGTACATATGTATTCTCTCCTGCAAGGCTATTCAATTATTTAAATTTTGTTCAAGCAAAGAAAGATCATTGCAAGAAGTACTGTCGTATTCCCAGGAATATTTTGTGTTTACTTTGTAGCTACAGGGATTTACAATTAAGAGCCAACGATATTACATGGACGGGACACGTGAACATATACCGAAGTTAGATCACTCAGTATAACGCCCAAAGCTCCCCAGGAGCTGGCCTTCGACAATTGGGGTTGCTTAAACTTAAATGACTAGACAAATAAGAGAGCGTACTCAATGGCATGTACGTAAATATGTAAATACATAATAGCGGGGCAAGATGGCACTTTGGGCTCCATAACCTGATGGCTGATGGGTTCCTTATCAGCGGACAAACACTCGCAGCTCCAATCAATTCCGATTCTCCCAGTTGGAAAACCATTCAGCGAGCAAACAACGACGGGGTCGAGGCTCAATTCGTTGTCAGGCGGAGTATTGGCACAGCTGCTACCTCGATGAAAAAGAGTCGTGGCTCGTATTTTAAATACAATGATGACGGGACATATATCCGTATAGCAAATAGCGTAGCAGAACCGAACCGAACAGAACGGAACGGAACGTTATGCAAAAAAGGTGCTACACAATCTTCTTTCACAGCCACAGCCAAAGCCAAAGGCAGGGACAGAGACAGGGCCAGAGCCAAAACCATGGCCTCAGCCGCACAACAGCAACTCTTTGTGTGTTCCTGCTATACAAATATGATAGTAATATACATACATAGGAACCCTAACGGATCGCCGTCGAGTGTGCTGGAATTCGCCTCCCTGCCTGGGCTGCCAGGTTCCACGGCCCTCGCCCCTCGGCCGTTTGCTCTGTTCAAATACACCTTGCATACGTGGCAAGTCGCCTCCTTCCGGCTGGAAAACTGATCTACACTCAAGTGGCAAGTTTGGGGTGGTTTTTTCCTGGTCGGGAGCTGTCGGCTGGCGCTCAGGACTGATAGGGGAGAACTTTTCCTGGCACCGGAGTACCTGTCAAGTTTACGCCTGACAGCGCACTCGCCCGATATTTTCCTGCAGGCGGCAGCTGTTCCTCGAGTCCTTGAAAAAGGGATATATGCCTGAGTTGATGTTGCAACATTTAACCTGTATGCAGGGAGGGTGCTGCTCCCTACGATAGGGGTGGCTGGACAGCTTTGCGGCCTCCGACAGGTGGTGCGGTGCGGTGGCCTGCCGAGGGACTCACTTGAAATTTGTTCAGGCATTAGGCACTCGTCTAACATATATCTACGAGAGGTACAGTTGTTGGGGTTGCATTGTTGTGGATGAGGATCGATACGGACACCCTTGGTGTACACTCGTGGGTCCCATATGTGATGGAATGTTTTCTTGCACTAAACCTAAGCATTGTTCTCATCTCTTCTCTGCATCGGGCTCTATCGGCTGAGATTAGAGCCACCTACTAAAATTAGAGCAATATAAATACATATACAGCCGAACACGAAAGGTGATGTTCTGGGCGACCCATAGACATTCATAGAATATTCAAATATTCCAAGCCTCAATGCATTTTTAATCACTCTAACCCATTCGAACAATTGTGGGCACAATTACATGGAAATTAATGCTACGCCAAAGACTTCTTGGCACGATCCTCCGGCATGTCTCGGCCTGGTACGTGAGCGGGCCAGTCTGCCGACGAATGGCAGCCCTGGCGCACGGCTTCAATTGAAGTTCGATGAGATGTGTCGCCCTCGTGCGCTTTGATTTTATTGCCAGCACTTAGCATAATGAGCTGCGCTGATAGCATCACGTTTCCTATCCAAAAGAAACCAAAGGCCGCGCCAGCAGTGCGCCGCATGCGCAATGCGCAGCGCATATGCTTCCTGTCTCGCCGGAAATTCCTTTGAGTACTCCGCTTTGTCGCATTCGTCGGCGGGGCTACGCCGACAGCACAAAAGTTCAGAGTGCATGAGTAGAGATCTTGGGTTTCCCTTGAGCCATTGGGAATCCATTGAAATGCGAAGAGCAGACAAACAAAGGACACACCACCTGTTTCCTTGGGCTTTGGCTGTTGGTTGAGATTTATTCGAAGAGGAAGTTCATTGAACTGAAATGGCTGCAATTGAAATCGGAACGCGCGTGCAGGAACTGGACAAACGGAGTGTGAGGCTCACAGATCTTCGGAGACTGGAAGAGTCCGCCTTAGTGCTCATAATTGGAATTTGCAGCGATCAGCATCCTCGTTTGAGCATAGCGCTTGTCGTCATTTAGGAACCGAATCACATCGGCGACGCAGATGTACTTCCACCTTAGCTTAGCTGCCGGACGCATGGCCAGAGATCCTCCCGGCTTTGCTGCCAGTGGAGCCTGGCGATTGCGCGATCCAATGGCATTCAGGGCCGTGTTGTTAGTCGTCGTCAGGCGCCTGGCTATGCCCAGCCCGAAGTCCGAGGAGGGTGCCTTGCGCTGGAAGTTGTCATCTTCATCCGACAGGCAATGCTCCTCCCGGTACCTCTCGTCGAGGCGTTCCATCTTGGTTTTCATGTCGTAAATCAACTCACAGCGATTGTCGTCGTGGAGATGATAGCCAGAGCGGTGCTCGCAGCGTTCGATGATCTCTTTCAAGGCAGTCTCCATGTATATCGTCAATGCCCCTAGAAAGGTGTCCAGTAGGCTCTCGCAGCCCTCGAAACTGAAGCTCTTTCCCTGTCGTCCCACTAAGCCCATGTGTTTCATCAGTTTCATCAAAATGCTCTTCCGCTGAAAGCACAACATCAGGGGATGGTCCTGACCGATGTGGGATCTGCTCCCGGCTGATCCCGGCATGCCTGCATTCTTCTGCGAGGGCACTTCGACGATGCGCTCCGACATGCTCCCGAATCTAGAGATAAATTGGTATAGTTCAATCGTATTTATATTGTTTTGTTTGGTTTTCTTACTTATCAGGAATCCCTTAAACTAAGTACACGAATCTCCAAGCTTCCCTTGATATCTTCGAATCTGCAAAGAGAGAAAGAGACATATCCATAAGTGCTCGGGATCTGTCCCTTCCATCCAGGTGCTAGTTCTTGGCACGAGCCTGCTGAACTAATGCAGGAAAAGGAAACATATGCCAGCATGATCCTTACCGGTCGAGTGCATCCACCCCCTGGCCGACCGCATTTCTTCATACGGCCCACTGGCTTGGGCCAGCCCCTGCCCCTGCCCCTACCCCTGACCTAGCACTTGTTCCTGTCGAGTGGCCACCTAACCGAACCTGCCACACCCGGCAACAGGAGAAGGACACGTTATGCAAAGTGCACAGGAATGCAAGTGAGTCTGGCGACCGGCCAGTTTCTGGCACGAGTAACTAATTATTCAAATGGAGGAGCTGTCCGATGGAATGCCCAGCCGCCCTTCCTTGGATAACCACCCAGACATCGACCGGGGTGAGCGGATATTAAAAAGCGGCGAGCGGCGCGGCGCGGCGCGGCGCGCGACTGTCGCCCGTCGCCCAACGCCTGTCTGTCCCGCACCGCACATTTCCGTGCACCAGTGAACTTCTGGCCCGACAGATCATGCCCAGCCTAGCATATCGTGGCCAAGACAGACCAGACTCGGCACATGAGGATGAGGGTGAGGGTGAGGGTGAGGGTGCGCTGGTGCGCATACTAAACCACGCGCAGGCCAGGAGCAGAAGCCAGGCAGGCGCGTGTTGTTTTGACGTGTTTGTAACCTGGCTAGAAATTTATTAGAAATTCTAGTCAAGGTGCTCGTCGACGGCGACGACGACGACGACGACGGCTTTGTCTCTGTCTTTGTCTTTGTCTCTGCTTATGTCGTGTCTGAGGTACCTTTGCTCCCGAACAGGTTCATTACGCGTGCCGGCGACAGTCGACGGAGGCGGAGGCGTTGACCTAATTACCTGTTTATTTTTTTTTAGTTTGTTAATTCTTACCCTACGCCTGCCTGCCCATAGGGGTGCAGTGCCTGCTGCTGCGGGTGTGTCGCTTGGGTGCTTAGTTCCTTGGGTTTGCCCCAAATGCAAGGTGCAAGCCAGGTCACAAAAATTCCAACTCTATCTAATTCGCGCAGAAATATGTATGTTTACAGATATTATAGAGAAACTTCAGCTCGGACTTCAGTTTAGTGGTGGAACTTGTGGGAATCGATTTCACAACACTGAAATATCGCGAGTGTTTGCTAATTTGTATTTTAATATGCATGGAATTAATGGAAAAAATAGTTCAAGCTATGAAAAAGATGCTTATAGATGCCTTTAATGGATACGCAGCTGAGTACATAATTTTTATTTATTGAAGAACAGGAATCGAAATGAATTTCGCTTTGCAACACTGGCAGGGCAGTTAATCTCTTTTGCTGAGCTCCACTATCGGGTTGAGTGCGTTCTACATGTTATCATCTGGGATCTTAGAAGGAATTATACTCCCACAACAGTCTGATGTTCCGCCATTCCTGCGGATGCGCTTCCCTGGTGGCACTCGCTTCGTGTAATATGCCACCCAACAGTTAAAAATGCAGATTTCGCCCATTCCAGCCGCACTTGCATAATCCACACATGGCGGCGATGGCGAAGGCGAAGGCAGAGGCAAACGCAGAGGCCCAGCTCCATCTGGGGAGAGAGAGAGACCTCCTCCGCCTGCCATTTCCAAGGAGCTGAGCTGAGCTGAGCAGAGCGGGCCGCATAAACTAAGCTAACAATTCAACTAAAATGCCAACCAGATAATAAAACTCAAATCGATGAAGAAGTGGAAGCATTGGCCTTTGTGATCGACTGAGTGTGCAGTTTGTGGCAAGATGGAAAATGGAAATAAAACTGCGAACACGAAACTGACTGCCGACCGGGCCGACAGTCGCAGGGGCAAGAGCCACAGCCGGGCTGGCAGCAAGGCAGCAAGGCAGCGAGGCAGCCAGGCCAGGCCAGGCCATTCAAACGACCACCCACACATCTGGGCCAGAGACACAGAAAGAGCCAGAGCCAGAGCATCCTCGCCGCCTGCGCAGTGTCAAATAGACAAGAAAACCAACAACCAACAACCAACAGCGGACGAGAGCTGCGTGGAGCGCAGGCGTGTGAGGGGACATCCAGCGGACGGATCGGATGGAGTCGACTGTGGAGTGGAGCCGGTGAGATGGAGGCATATTCCAGCGAATAAATATTATCATATGGAAATTTCCTTTCAGAGCAATTACGAATGCTGCCACAGCCAGGGCCCAGCGTTTTGTGGCAAGTGACCTGCGAGACGTCAAATGCAGCGCACAGGAAATCGAAGTCGCAACTCGACGGGTTTGACGATGATGTAGCACCACCACAGCTCTATGCACTCTCTCGGCTCGTCTCGTCTCTCCTCCCAGCCATTCATAGAGATCACAGCGTGTCGCAGTCGTAGAAAGTTTTAACTGTGGAAACAGCGCAAGAGAATCGCCCATCCCCTCCCAGATGGTCTGTTTGTTCAAGGCAGTCTCCACTGTTTCGTATGGTACCCACCAGCCCCAACCCCATCCACGTCCACGTTCAAGCCGTCGTTTGCTCTGCGCACCGTTCCGTACCTGTTGGAGCTGCGTTTTCGGGGAGCAGCAAACGAAATTGCCAATTGTTGCGCTTCGGTGGCGGTGGCAGGCTACTGTTTGGCTTTTGGTTTTGTTGCTGCCACACACCTTGCAGCTGGAGCGGAAGCGAGGCATCTTAGAGATCAGCGAGGCTCTGGCGGCTGGCAACTGGCGCTGGCTGCTGGCTGCTGTTATTGTGTGTTGCCACTTTCAGCGCTGGCCTGCCTTTTTAAGCCATTTTAATATGAGCGTTGCACATCTTGTGGGTGTGGCTGATTGGGCAAGCCGAACCAAACGAAAAATGGATGAGAAGAGTCTCCGTCTGCGCTGGGCCAGGCCAGGCCCAGCCCGGCCCGGCCCGATGATCAATCTTGGCCATGGCAACGTTTTACGATGATGATGATGATGACGACGACGACGTGGACTTTGTTGCCGGTGATGGCTTTGATTGCAGCAGCCTCGCAGCCATTTGCCAGTTGCTACTGGTTTTCTCCGAAGCCGCACTTAAGTGGGCGTGGGCATTTGAAAATGTTAGCCCGATCCGCAGGAAGCGATCTGTTTGGCCTATGGAAATGCCCAACAGGCAGCGAAATGTTTCAATTACTAGTACATATTTTGGTCAGCAATTAATATCGCCGGAGTCAGAGGCATGCGGTGGAACACCTGCGCAGTCTCATTTCACTCCACAATCGTTCTCAGGACTGCTTAGTGGCGGAAGTAGGTTGACACTCTGCCAAATGGGACAAAGGCGACACCTACATGCATCCACACCCCCACACCTACACCTACAGCATGATTGTTGTTCTTCACTCCTAATTTATTTTTACAGCATTCCGTTTCCGTTCCCAGAAGCCCCCCCACCATTCAGATTGGCATTGTTCCACGGGACGGGTCACAGGAACCTTGTCTCGTCTCCGTTTTCCTTTTGCTGAAAGAATAACAAGTGTGGAAACAGGTTCTGCACATCGATAAAAGGTTGCAGTTCGATGCTGTGCTGTTACCCAACACTGGAACTGGAAGGCCACGACCAAAAGACGGAATAGGAATAGGAATATGCAAAATCATCAACATTTACTAAATAAATAAAGGCCGAGTCCATGCAAAGTGCAACCAGCAGAGGCAACGCCAGAGGCAGCCAGAGGCAGAGGGATTTCAAAGGAGCCCAAGCCCAAGCCCAAAGCCAGCGTATGCAAATTGCTTGTGGGAAGAAGAATAAGTGAGTGGAACCAAGAGGTAAATTGGAGCGCTGCTAGAGGATTCTCCCACAGCCCACTGGACTACTTTCGAGCGATGACAATAATGTTGTCTGCGCTTCTTTATGGGCTGCCTGGATGCCTGAATGCCTGAATGTGCTGCCTCGCACCTTGGTCATGGCCATGGCCATGGCCATTGTCATTGTCACCAAGGAGCAGCAATGGCCATAACAATTTTCCTGCCTTCTGGCCGTGGCCGTGGCCGAAGCCAGGGGCTGGGGCTCGGCTCCCGCTGCGCGAGCATTGTTTGCCCGCTGAGCAGATTTCCCAGAACTGACACCTTGCCACTTGGTCTGGAAGGGGCATGCATGGGCCATGTGTGTGGTGTCTGAGTATTGTGTACTGCTACAGTTTTGTCCGCGCCAAGATGTCTGGCAGACAGGGTACAGTACAGGCTTTGTGGCACAATCCCACAGCACATTCATCATTGAAACAATTGCTCATCTGTGTGTCTGTGTCTGTGTCTGTGTCTCTCTCTCTCTCTCTCTCTGTGTTCCAGGTGTTGCTGTGGAATTTCAATTTGCATAAATTTGGTACAGATTTGCGTACAATAGAGGAGTGGTGGCATGGGGGACGGGCGGCGGGCGGCTACACCCATGATTATCCAGCAAATGCTCTTCTATAATGAAGATGTTGCCGACAAGACAATGTCCGAGTGCAATTCTCAACGAGAACTCTAAACAATCTTCGAACTCACTCACCCGTACGTTTCATTCCAGAGGGAAAGTCGAGCAGCTGCTGCAGCCAGATGGGCCAGGAGCACACCTGATCCTAGCGTGCCTCGGGAGGCGGACTCGGGCCGACGCTAATGCGCCACCTACTGCTACCGGAATACAAAGGAGGACAAAGACGGGCTACATTAGAAAGCAGAAACTGCGCAAAATCGACGGGAGCGCGCAGGGCAGGGCAGGGCAGGCCAGGAAGGCACTCGCTGGGCAAGTGCGGATGCTCAGGATTTCATTTGCGGCAAGAACTCAGGACAAAGGATGAGGGCTCGAAACAATGCTAAACCAAATTGAATGGCTTTCTAACGATGTTGTCAAGCCATTACACATTACACATTAGACATTAGAAATTAGACATGAGACAGGCCTGTCTGTAGCCACAGCTCAGACACGAACGAGACTGTGGCCATATCTCTGCACATACAAATGTCTGGCCACATCTTATCGTTTAGCACCTGCCCAACAGCTTGCCCAATCAAATATGTGCCCATGGTTAAGCGAGCAAATAACCCATTTTGTGGTAAATATGCTCATGTCATCGAAAATCACGATCACCTTGGACACTGTGGTTAGTTGGGTATCTGGGCAAACACGATGGGAATTCAGGTGCCAGCCGTGTGCGTGTCCAAACGACACTTAAATTATCTAACGCTTGGTTTTTCCTGCGGTCGAGCTAATATTTGTTCAGTCCCCGCAACCCGCAAGTATTTACCAGCGTCTTTTTGTGGCAACTGCTTCACAAGTGTCTGTCCGTGGCTCTTCTCAGCCCAGCCCTTGGCAGGAAAATGGGCCAGATAAGATAGTTTGCGGTTGATAATTTTGGTTATCCTTTCACTAACACGATCCCATAATCTTCCTGCTTTGACAGATTGCTGTACGATGGTGGCTGATTGGACATAGCGTGCAGGCAAAAAGGCCCAGGAGATTGCGCCGAAGTCGTTCTGCTATATAAATAATTAATGTGAGTACTACAGCTATGTACACCCTATGGCAACTCCAGGGATAATTTACATTTGAATCTATTAGGTAGTTCGTAACTCTGTTGGAGCGAGTTCCCATGTTGAATATATATTTTGCAGTCTGCTCGAACCAGCACATGCCAATACCTGAGGCCAAATGACAGCGGGATAAAAATAATCTCTTCAGACAAAAGACATTGGCAAAAAACTGTGTCCCAGCTCTGGCTCTACATCCAGAAGGACAGGTGAGGAACATCTTTCTTCCTTTTCGTGTCATTGTTCGTCGAATAGAGACACAACGGCAGCAACTCCCCGGCAGAAGTCAGGCGAAAACGAACCTGTGCCTAGGATAACGATGCCTCTGCCTATCTCTATTCGATCTATTATTCGCAAAAAAGGGAGACGGCCGCTGCTCTGGAGAGAGGAAAGGGAACGAATCCAAACAAAAGCGGGCTCACAGACAGCTGACAAATCCGAGGAGATGAGATGAGGCCTTTCCTTGTCCTCTCCGATCTGTGATCCTTGGTGGAACACAGGCCAGCTGCCCGAGGGGGGATCAGGATTTTGGCAAGGTGCTCGCTGGGTCTTGATTACATCATCGACTCGCCGGGCGGCTAGGTGGTCTCAGATAGAGAGCACCCTCAGATAGAAAATGTCAGCATAAATCTGGATTATGGATAGTTTGTCATAATTTTGGTGCGGAGACTCTCGGCTCTCCCCTATTAATTGATTGGGAGCGGAAGTGGCATCCATTCCGAGTGCCTCATACCTATTATTAATTGCCATAAATCTTGGATCAATAATAGGAATCATAATAATACGCAGGCCGACCCGCGGCTCGGCTCGGCTCAAGCTGCAAAGTTTCAGAGACATTTAACCTGTCATTAGGCAGCGATACAGTGGGCCGAGGCTGTGGCGAATGCCGTCTAAATAATGTTCATTATAGTGTGTAGAATCCGTTAAAATCGAGTTACTATAAATTTCATTTTTATACGAGAAATTCCCACTGTGCCTGTGGCTTTGATTTGGCCCCGTAAACTGTTTCAATGCGTTGCCCGATCTGCTTTCGTCAAATTATATAATGATGCCAACAGCGGCCAGCCTACTCGGGACCAGGTAAGGATGGGCCACGCCCACACTCACAGCCAGCCCTAAACGCACCTTTCGAGCGGACGCAGACCCATGCGTGGGTGTGGCACAGGCAAGCCAAACAAGAGCCGGTAATCCTTTTCTGGCCATCGAATGAGTCCTTTGTGCAAGTCGCTCTCTCCTCCATCCACTTGACAGTTTAACCAAAAATGCAAACCGTTGAAATGAAGTTAAATAGTTTCTTGTTAAAGGTGGCACCAGGGCCGGGCTGGGCCTGATCACACCACGTTGCCGTGGCTGAAACGTTGATTTTCGGCTTTGGTGAACCCTTTTGTCGAGTACCGTTCGTTCTCTTTAATGTTGCCCCGTCGGACCGAGACTAAGCACCTGCCAAATGATTAATCATTTTGCCTGGCCTCTCGTCTCGCCTTTAGCACCTTTGCTCCCGCTCTGTCTCCTCTGCATCTCCTCATCCAACTCCACCTCCATCTGCATTGAAGTGCGTTAGTTCAGAGAGAAGACTCTCATGTTTTCGATGCTTAAATGCTAAAAGCTCATCAATTATCCCCCAAGCCCTGGCCCTATGCGAGTGTGTCTGCCCGAGCCGCGTGCATCTGCTTATTTCGGGGTCGGTCTGTCATTCCCCAGTCAGTCAGTCAGTCAGTCAGTCAGTTAGACAGTCAGTCAGACAGTCAGAGTCTGGGGCGCCAAAGGTCGCACTTTCCTCTTTTATTTTCTCCCTGGCGGAGACTCTAATCATGTCCATCAATTTGATGGGTTGTAGGTGAAAATGCGAGTTGTCGCTGTGGGCTGGGAGGACTGGTAGGCGGCTGGAATGCAGACCGAATAAAGTTTTATTTTATAGAGTCACGTGGGAGGTCCGAAGAGAGATCTCGGCTCGCAATTGGGTTGCAGAGATTGGGCGATGTAAAGGAAAAGAAGAGTCTTTTTTCTTTCATGTGCAATCAAATTGGACAGCGAAGGGGGTAAGAAAAAACCCACAAATTTCTATTACTTGTACTTTAAGAGATAATAAACGCGAATATGTTATACTATGTAGCTTTAACAATATCACAACATATATCTAATAGTAATAATAATATTTTCTAGGTATAATTCCATTTCTCCATCAATCCATCACCGACATCTTACCATAGGAGAAGTGTGCTCTCTCCCTGTCGCTTGTCAAGCATTGCCATGGATCTCTTTCAAAGACCAACGCACTGACATCGGCACACTTATCCACAAACCAAAATCCTCTTCAATCGCACAGGCAGATGTTTCGACGGAAAACCATTCAGGATCCAAATGCCGTGCTGCAGGATTTGTTCATTAGTGCAGCCACTCGGTGCACGCTGCATTTGAATAAATAAATAAATAGAAAAGGAAACATGACAGGCGAAACGGGAGCTGCAGTAGAGCCGTGCCGGATCCAGGGGTGGAGGTGGAGGTGGAGTGGAGGTGGAGGTGGAGCGCTGAGTAATTGAAAAGAATGAAACGTGCGCCGCTTGGTATTGGTTTTGGTGGCCTATAAATCAACGTGCTGCAGGATAATGCATCCCGAGTGTTGAGCCCTAATTGGAATTGCGCCCCGGCATCTGCCAAGTGCCGCCTGTCTGCCGCATTCGCTTGAATGCAACCAGAGATCCTTTCTGGCAGAGTCTTGCCTTGTCTGCCTGCCTGAACCGCACCCGCACTGGCACCCGCACCTGGCCGTGATTTCAAAAACAAAACGAAACAGAGCCACAGGGCTACTTAGAAGTGGAACAGGTTGTCATATAGAGAACACCAGAGGCCCCATAAGTCGGGTAACATGCCTAAGAGCAGGCATGCCCAGGCGAAGGCGAAGTAGGAGGACAAAAACTTACTGCTAAAATTACAATATTAAAATTTTATTATACGGTAAAATGTGGAGAACGCGACGAAGGAATGTGATCGACCAGGGAGATGCCTGGGGAGTAATGGAAAACTGCAATGTGTACGATTCGTATTCATGGTATGAAATTCCATTGAAGAGTTAAAAGCCTTTCCAATGTTATTTTACAAACTTCGAAACTGCTTCAATAAATACCCCGAAGTTTCAGAATCGGAATAGGAACCCGAACCCATCCACCCATCCTTAGTATATGTGTATGGGGTAGCAAGTGTCTGGTTCCCTTTCGGTTCTGGCAGCAGGAGGAGGGAGGCGGAACGATGACACAAATCAGATCGACCGTTTTCCGTTGGCTGAACCCACCTGAACCTGCGCGAAGTGTACCGTTGTGGCACAGCGTTGCAACATCGTTCGCCCGTTGCATCCACTCCCCGATCGCCAATCGCCAATCGCTGATTCGTACATAAGTGGCATACAAGAAGAAACATTTTCGGCTGGTGGCACGAGCTTAATGCTGTCGTTATACATTTTGCAGGTTGATGCCAGTAGGATGGACTGGCTCTGGAGCCGCCGAGCCGAGCCGAGCGGAGCGGGACTTGTCGTCCCATGCCATAGCCCAGTGTGGGGGGGCATGCACATGGACGTCCACGGGCCATGCACGCCGCCAGGCTAACAGCCATTAAGCAGCCACCCCGCGCCACAAGCCGCCCCATTTTGCATATGATATTTCGGCGGCTGGATGCGGTCTCCGTCTCCCTCTGCTCCGCCTCGACTGGGTCATGGATCGAGCGGGTTATCGCCCGGTTTATGGTGGCATCGCGCGTCATGTTCATGCTGAATTCCCTCCGTATGTAATAATTTTCGCAGTCAGCGTGTCTGCTCCGTCATCGCGCATATTTTGTTCGGGGAGTGCATCATTATGTTCGTGGCATGCATTATACTTAGGGCTGCACTCGCTGCCGTTTTATTTTTTTATTATTTATGGATGTTAATGTGGCTTTAATGTGTGGCTACTTGTTTCCCTTCAAATGGTATGAGATTGCGGCTGCTGGGATGCTCCAGGCATGCAAATGTCCCTTATATCTTATAAATATTTATACTATGAAATACGATGATGAGCCAAGAAATTAAGAAGCTCTCCTGAGTCTCCACCCTGTAGATCTCACAGCCGATCCAGTTGGTAATTAATTTTGGGTCATACATATATGTATGTGTGTATGTACTCGGACTCTTCGACCACCTATAATTCAATGATTCGACAAAACATAATTCAGACATTTCAATTGCTTCTCGTTTTTACGTCCTCCCGGTGGCATTTAAGGTTGTAAAATGTATTTACAACAGTTATTGGGGTCTGTCTGGGACTCGAATTGGGTGAACTCTTCCCTGCGTTTCGTTAATCAAACATAATATCCTGGAGTGGCGGAGAGAAAACTTTCGTTTGCGAAAGACCTTAAACAAAAACCCCACGGGGCAGCCGAAGAAGGGGAACGCGGCTGGAAGCGGCTGGACGGTAACGACAACAACCCACACGCACTTTCATCGGGTATGGGTATATGGTATATGGTATGGACATGGACTGGAAACTGGGGATCTGATCTGTTCTGATCTGCGACCGGGGAGCCCTGTAGACTGTCGACTGTCGACTGCGGACTGGAGATCCCCACAGATCCGTGACAGAGTCTGTGGCAATAATAAAAACGCTCGATTGTAATTTTCACAGTGCAATTATTGTCTCAGCTTTCAAATGCGGTGGGCCCCAGAAGGGGCCCAGAAGAGTTTCAGATCCGAGACTGGGGCGCAGAGCCACAGACTGGGCCGAAAGTAATTTTCAATTTTAACAGCCAGAGCATAAAATATAAAGCACAACTTGCAGCACACACTTGTTAATGCCACACATTGGCCGGGGCAAGTGATTCGGTGTCCGTCTCTGCTCTGCAGACTTTTGTCGCTCGCTTTTTGCTGCGTGTCCTGAAAATGAGGGAATTACAAAAGTTTTTCATGTTCCGAGCTCCGACAACAGCAGACAAATCTCATTAAAAGGCGTCGCGTCTTCGTGTTGCGCCCGCAAGGAGCAGATCCAACCCGAGTCCCAGTCTCAGAAATCGTGGCCAGTCGTCCCTCAAGTCTCTGTCTCTGGCCCCGTCCCCGTTCCCGTCCCCATGTGGTGCTGTGACCCTTTTTCATATGGCCCAGCCAAGAGGCGTTGCATTTAAAATGTCGTTAATAATTTGTTGCTCGCTCCAGACCCGACCCGGCCAGAGCAGACCACCGGACCCTACCACAAACCAAAACCTCCAAAGGGAACCGAACGCAGATCCCCAACCAAAGTCCCTGGAACTCTTCTTCTCGCGCCAGATTTCTGTTTTTTAGAGCTTGTCGTAAAAGAGTTTTATTATTTTTGTTTCATTGCCTCCAAAATAGGATTAGCCTGTTGCGGCTTGGCCTCTTTTTGCGATGTTGTTGCTTTCGTTTCGTTGCTAGGGTTTGCCATGTTGCAACATCCAAAAAATCGCTTCAACATCATCATTTTACACGCTTTCAAAATGTTATGGGAGCCAGGGATATGTACATACATGTGTATGTATCGATGGTCGGTTGGGTTCCAAATCCGAAATTGGTCTTGTGGTTTGCATATTTGGGTCACCTAATTCGAGTTTTCATGATTGATATGAGAACATATGTATGTACATACATATGTATTATTAAGAGATGGCAGACAAATGTCAGTTTGCTCTTGAGACAATGTATTCCTGTATTTCTTATCTCTTACTTACTTATCTCTAATAAGAACAGTGATCTCCAGCAATCAATGAATACAGAATCCAGATTTTTCTGCAAGAAATTTTCTTTTGCGTCTCCCTGGAGATGCGATTTGTCAACTCGCAGAAGGATTGCTCCCAATAAACTTGCTCGAGTGTGATTTAAGGCCAACTCCAAGCCCGAGCCCAAACCCAAACTAATTAACTTGCACAGCGGCTCAGAGCTTGGTCGGTGGGTGGTCTGCGGTCTCGGTGCCGGTGCCGGTGCCGGTGCCAGTGCCGGTGCCAGTCCCGTCCCCGTCCCGCTCACGGGCCTCTCCTAGAACATAGCCAGGAAAAAATTAGTTAACAAGATCATTAAATCTTTGTTAACAGCCAATCGAGCAACGACAGCCACGTCGGACTCCGTCCCCGTACCAGGCCGAGTCGTGGGGCATTACAGGAGAGGCTCACCATACTCCAGAGCCATGGCCCAGCGACGTGCGATAAGATAAGGGAACTAGAGTGAGAGAGAGAGAGCTGGAAATGGGACTCGAACTCAGACTGGAATTGAGGAAAAGTACCTGGACATGGGCATGTAAGTCGCAGTACGTGGCCCCAGGCAGAGTCCGATCCGAGTCCAGAGTCCCGAGTCCCGAGTCTGGTCTGCAAATGTTTATCTATTAATTTATGCTGGCGGTTTTTCGGTTCCTCGTCTGGGAATCGCCTGGAGAGGAGATCGCACTTGTGCGCCCGTATAGCTGCCGGCCATATTCCTAGGAATCTCAATCTGGATCTGGATCTGGATCCGCATGCACAGCAGTGGGCCCTGCCACAGGGACAAACATTTGATAAGACGCTAATTAAGTTAAATGTTCGCTCTGTGTGGGCCATTCCTGAAAATTGGCACAGATTCCCCCCACTTCCCCGGATCGATATGATTTATATACATATGTACATACATACATACATACATACACATGCATGTGTGGACGGCCTGCAACTGGAGACGGGGGCCAACACCTCTTATCTGACAAGGGAACACTTTCCCTTCCATTCGTCGTGTTTGTTTTGTTTTGCTGCAACATACAGCTGCCACTTAGTGCGGGTGCCACTTGAGAAACATTTTTTCCATGCTCAGGGAATGGGAACTAACAGGAAAAATAAGAAAATAATAGATATGTATTGATACATAATTCAACTCAGAATTAGCGTATTTTGCCAAATTTATATTAAGATGCTGCGAATACTCATTTAACAGTTAAGCGGACAGATTAAAAAATGTATTCCTTCTCGTGCTGCTTCGGCTCTGATTCGGGTCTGTCTCATGAGAGAGCAAGATGATTAAGAGCGCAGCGAAACGGCTCGGGAATGGAACACGATTAAGAGAGCTGGATCGAAGAGAGTGCTTTTTATGCTCTTCGATGTGGAAGAGTTTGATCTTGTATTCCTGAGTGGTTCGTTCGTTCGTTCGCTTGCCACGAGTTTATCAAGGCGCGCCATTTCCTACTCAGCGAATTATATCGCATGCATAAGTGTGCTCTATGGGCTTGTCTCCAGTTCTCCATAATGGACATGATCATCCACCTGATCTAAATATTTGTAGTCCTTGTAGTAGTATCTCTCAAACGTATTGAAAAACATTTCAATGTTTGTGATCGAATGTACATACGCAATTGAGGAAACGACATCCAATGAGAACCGAATTAATTTTTAGCATTTGTAGAGCACTTTATTAAATGCGAAAATAATACAAATTCTAGCCAAAAAATTATTAATGTATTTATTTTAGTGTAGTACTCAGATCCAAAAACTGTTTGCTAGCAAAAATATGTCATAAATGCACTGTATTCCGTACGGAAGGCTACACTGCTTAGACAGCTGTTCGGCTTTGATTAAAGTAAACAAAGTTAATGAAATACATTTCTTCGGCTGGTGACGCTCTTCCCCAGGCATATCCTGGGCTCCCCAATATTTTATTGGCAAAGGAATGTGTCTGGCTATCAGCAGCAGCACATGGCGACGCCTCCAGTGCAACCGCCACCGACCACCGTGAAGAAAAAATATTTTGAAAACAATGAAAACATTGTTAATAAAAATAATCAATTATAATATCCATATAATTGTCCTTTATATACATATGTAGCTGCCTTAATTCGATTCTATTTGTCTTCATTATTTTGGTTTGGTTTTTTGTTCTCATATTGCAATGTTTGCTTCGTGTTTGCCGGCAAAATATATCAAATTGTTATAACATAACTATCGAGGGGGGTGGAAACATACCAGCAATACCAGCAAATACCTTCGGATACTTTTCTAGTATATACCGCCCTTTTTTTTTGTTGAAGTCAGTACAGAGTATCGGTTTCATAGGAATATCAACCCTGATTCTGTTCGCGAGGTGTTCTTTCTGGTCTGAATAACTAGACTTTTGCATAATAGTGAATAAAGGATTAAGTGCAGCAGGTTACAACATTTCAACGAAGCTACTCCACTCAACTTTATAATTTCTTCTCTGTTTTTGCTTCTTGGACTCGCAGTGGACTTCTCTCACTACTTTGGCGGCGGCAAAAAAAACCTTCATTAATGCAAATCGGTACCTGGCCTCCCGTTTAATCTTTGACATTTGATCGAGTCAAGAGGTGCGTGCCCCTTCTCGTACGCACGCACGTGTTCGCCACCTACCTGATGTATATTTTTTGTGCGCGTACGGTGCAGGTCAACTAATGACCCAGATGCACCTGATAATGAGGCAAGTAGCCCTTGTCGTTAATCCCCCCTTTCTTTGGATATTCCCGATTTTCTCTATCCGCAGCAAACAACAACCATTTGTTAATCGACGCAGAATCATACGCTCCACTCCACTCCACCTAATTGCGCATTGAGTTAAGAAAAAGAGAGTCACACGAACGAGAGACGTCTCTCCAGCAGCCTCTCACCAACACCAGCACAGAAAGCGTGTGCAGGCAAACACCAGTGCAATTATAACGGTGTTTATATTTAGCTGTGAATCGTTGTTGTTGCGACGGCGTCGGTGGCGATTGGTGCAAGTGTATGGTGCACGTTTGCTCACGTTTGTTTCGTACATAAGCGAGCCGAAACAGGTTTGCCACCCAACGCTACGATTGGCCGAACGCACGCACCCACACACTCGCAGCACACACATTGCCCATGCATGTGCACGACTACCTGAATGTAAACGCACGCCGCAGAGAGCGCTGCGCTCTTTCTGCTCTTTCGCTGCCTGCGCTGCTGGCTTCGGGTTCTGCTCGCGTATAAAAGACCCGCACAGCAACAGACTCGCTCTGACTCCGCTGACACCCGCCTCGCAACGAGCATCCAAGCAATAGCGACAAAGCAAAAAGCGACCGCGCTTCGTTTCTGAGAATAACAACGTTCGTTCTGTGTTTTAGTGTGCGCGAGCAATGTGGTTGAAATAATTGAGAAACAATTTGAGAACTTTTAATTTGCAAAAGCAATCGACAATATATAAAGCAACAAAATGCATACCGTGGAAGACATGTTGGTGGAAAAAAACTACAGCAAGTGTCCTTTGAAGAAGCGGCCCGTGAACTACCAGTTCGAGTCGTCCGCGCAGACCCCCGTCAATGAGCCCCAGGATCTTTGCCTAAAGAAGGAGGATGTGGAGGTGGAAGCCAACCATGCGACGGCCTCAGCCTCGGAGGAGGTGATCAACGTCAGCGACTGCTGCGAGGACGAGGGCGTGGACGTCGACCACACCGACGACGAGCAAATGGACTTGGAGGAGGACGACGTGACCGTGGACTGTGTGGACGTAGACAGTGATCCCAACCAGACACAGGCCGCCGCCCTGGCTGCAGCAGCCGCCGTGGCCGCCGCATCTGCTGCCGCTGCAGCCGTGGTCGTGCCCACCCCCACGTATCCCAAGTATGGCCTACAGCCATGGAACTTCCACATGTCCCCGTACACAGCCGAGTTTTACCGCACCATCAACCAGCCGCACCTGGCCGCCGTTGCCGCCACCGCTGCCCAGCAGCAGATATCCCCACTGCGAGGCGACCTCCTGGCGCCCAGCTCGCCCTCAGACTCTCTGGGGTCGCTGTCGCCACCGCCGCACCACTACCTGCACGGCCGGGCCAGCTCGGTGTCGCCCCCGATGCGTTCCGAGATCATCCACAGGCCCATCGGAGTGCGCCAGCAGCACCGGTTCCTGCCATATCCGCCGCTGCCCGCCGCCGCCTATCACCAGCAGTCGCCCTACCCCGCCCTGGGCTACCACCACCACGCGCCCATCTCGCCGGCCTACTCGGAGAGCTCCTACTACTCCATGCGCTCCATGACACCCGAGTCCAGCTGCTCCTCGGTGCCCGAGGACCTCTCGCTCAAGCACAAGCCGATCGGTCAGGAGGCCGCCAGCAGCATCAAGGCGGGAGCAGGCCCCAATACCAGTGGATCCGCCAGCAGCTCGGCCTCGCCGAGCCCCGCCAAGAAGGACAAGTCGCCACCACGCTACCAGTGCCCCGACTGCCAGAAGTCCTACTCAACCTTCTCCGGGCTCACGAAGCATCAGCAGTTCCACTGTCCCGCGGCTGAGGGAAACCAGGTGAAGAAGTCCTTCAGCTGCAAGGACTGCGACAAGACGTACGTCTCGCTGGGCGCCCTCAAGATGCACATCCGTACCCACACGCTGCCCTGCAAGTGCAACATGTGCGGTAAGGCCTTCTCGCGCCCCTGGCTGCTGCAGGGCCACATCCGCACCCACACCGGGGAGAAGCCCTTCAGCTGCCAGCACTGCCACCGCGCATTCGCCGACCGCTCCAACCTGCGGGCCCACCTGCAGACGCACTCGGACATCAAAAAGTACTCCTGCAGCAGCTGCTCCAAGACCTTCTCGCGCATGTCCCTGCTGACCAAGCACTCCGAGGGCGGCTGTCCGGGCGGCAGCAGTCCCAGCTCCAATGCCGGCTCCGCCACCGAGCTATCCTACGCCGGCTACGCCGAGCCCTAGGATCACCCACTGGAGATCCACACATTGTATTCAAGCCATGTTCCACCAAAAATTAGTTCCTAGCTCGTTTAAGAGACCGGCAGCTCCAAGTTCCCAAATGAATAACCGAACTCTTACTTAACCCAGACACTCCCAGTGCACAGTGCCACAAAAAACAACTATGAAGACACGCAGAATTCAATACTTTTTATTTGATTATTTTTTATTTTCTAGTCAGCATTTTCTTTGCAAGAGAAAACTAAAACGGAAGTTTATTTGATTTTATTTTTAAATTTCGTCTCTGAATTATATTCATTACTATTTCATAAACAAAATCCTAAGCCGAACTTTGTAAAGTATTCTTCAGATATCCTGTATACATGTACCATGTAAGGTGTATTACGCCCCAGCGTCTAACTGTAGATCCTAAGCTGAAGACCAGACAATCTTAAGTAACTTTAGATGTATGATATCCAAGTTGAACGAAGACACATAAGTTTCTACCTATATACCTATATACAATACCATAGTACGAGTATTTTTAGCCTAGCTGTAGATCGTAAACTATTTTTGATATGACCACAACTTTTACGTACACATTGAAAATGTTCTACATTACGAGTAGGTTAAGTGTGGATAAGCTAACGGAATATTTTGATACGGAAATGTTTTATATTTTTAAGTAATTTATTACATCAGACGAAATATGAAAGAATGAAATACATTTTATTTACATGTACAAGTATACGAAATAATTATTATTGGGTGCAAAGAGGGCTCTTCCATTTTTCCATTTCAGCAGAAAGATCTAGAACTGAGTTCGAGAGACTTCTCTTGACATTATATGATCGAACATCAACTTATTGATTGATTTAAAGTACTTCAGGAAATTCTAGCAAATTCTTAATTTGTAGGGAATTTGAATCGTTTTTCATGGAAAAAGACTATCATTACAATATTTTAGCTGATGGACTATCGATACATAATATGGAAAAATTGTTCATGTTCCAGCAAGTTCTACCATTGATTGTGAATTTTGTTGTATTTATGAAAAGGTCTGGGATCTTTTGAAATTCGTTAAACCTAGCAGAATCCCATTAATACATATATATCCCTTTTATTGGAAATAAATTAATTCCAATTGGATAATATTATTTAAGAGACTTATTCGAACTAGCAGTTATTCCCAACTCTAACCCATTTCGTTTTCCGAGAGCAAGTTCAACGAAATCTGAAATAGTCGTGAACGGGCGGACGGCATAGCACTTGGGAGCTCTTCCCTTTTTTGGGTCATGATCTTCTTTTCGGGGCGAATAAACAAATCGAAGCGAGTCGAACGAGAAATGTGGCCCGCCGGAGAGTCAAGCAGCCAATCGCGACATTTTATTGCCTGCCCAGAAAAACAAACACACTCGAAAAAAGATTTTTATATGCTATGCTGATCATAAATTATATTTAAATTTCCGTACACGTACAATGTGATCGGTAGGGGCAGGGTCCGGTGGGGGGCTACAAAATGGCAGTCACTATTAAATCAAAGCCCAAACTTCAAGCCTGAGTAGATCCGCGCCTCGCCAAAGTCTTATTAGACATGAGGCAGATTTTAATGAAGGAGAGAAGAAATAGGTCTCCCCACCGACTAGGCAAGATCCCAAGTGTGATCAATGCATCCATGCGGAAAAGAGGAGGAGGAGACGCCATCATCGAAAGGTAACGTTTGGGTGACAGAGCATATGAAATTATGGGTGCGTCCTCCCAAGCCGAAGTCGAACTCGAAGCCGAACGTAACAAAACTCATTATCGAGATCAATCGATCGCCAGGCGGGGTCTAGAGTCCCAGAGTCCCAGCCAGAGATCGCACATGTGTGTGGGGATCCGGCCGAGCAGCGATCAGCGATCGACGACCACGACAATTGTTGCCAAATTAGATCATCAGGCAGCCAGCCACGGAGCGGCAGCAACAAGTTTCAGTCAAGTTTCACGTGTGCAGAGATCTGATCCCAGTACAATCCCCACCAGCACAAGCACCGTTCCAGCGAAAATTAATATGCACGCATTTCGTGGCTCGACTGCCTCCATGCCAGTCTCCTCCTCCGGTCTCAGGTTACCAGCCCAGGCTGCAGATCCCCAGACCCCAGCTCCCAAAACCTGAGCCCCGGCTGGCTGATCGCAGCTTCCAAAACGATCAACGTTCGTGCCTGCTTTCTTGCTAAACAATTTGCAAACGATTTCTAATAAGCGTCTTAAATTGTAACAAAATAGACTCGCATTTAGGGCCTTTTGTGTGCCTTTGCCTTTGCCTTAGCATGACTCGGGCTCCAGCTCTAGCTTCAGCGCGATAACAAAGATCGAGGGAATAAAAAATAGGAAAAAGAAAAAATAAAAAATAGCCGAAAACATGGACAACAGCAAAACGGGAGGGTAACTGCCTGGCTTGACCCTCTCCCTACCCAAAACGAATAAAAACCTCTTGGGTTTTTATTTCGGATTATTTTATTTTATTTGTGCCAAATTTCGCGCTTGATCGGTGCATTTTTTAAACCATTTTATTGCGAGGAGTGAGTCCATCTGGGGTTACATTGCCACGATGAAGATCTCTTGGGTAGGGCCACAGACAAGTTGACTGATTATGGGGTCCTAACTTTGTGGCACATTTTGTATGTCAAGCCAATGATCTCATATGAGTGAAATTTACTTCCAGGATCATAGTGGGAATGGTTTTGGTAATGTAGGGCGATCTTTAGAGAGTTGTATCAATCGCCAAATACCAGCTAAGAAACGATTTGTGAATATGCAACAGTTACGGGAAGATATACACATGTACGTTAGTTGTTCCTTATTGCACATTGAAGTTCAAGTATAGCTTCGATAAATATGTTACCTAAAAATGTTATCTAAAAATCCTCGATCGAGAATGGTCCCGAACGTCTTCCAATAGCTAACTTACCTATATGCACCCCCAGCTTTGCTTTAACTTCCATTTCAATTCGTTAACAATAAACAAATATCACTTTCATGACGTTTTTCGCAACTGCAGCTGTCTGTCTGGTCTTCCACCTCTGGGCTCCCTAGGTTCATTCCCATTCCCTGCCTCCCCTGCCAGCTGCCACTGATAAAACCTGACGATTTTGGCCAGAAACGCTGCACCATAATAAAGCAGCTAAAAGTCAAACGACAACGCAAAATGGTAAACAGATCGAAGCTTTATGAATATGCAAAGATAAAAAGCAGTTGGCAGACCCCTCTCCCACCCGCCCCCTCCATCACCCTTTTGACAAAGAAAAAAGTTTTTTTTGAATTTCAAATTTTTTAACGAGCCAAAATGAAAAACTTTCCAAACAAAAGGCAAACAGCACACACACAGAAGGCTCCCCGAAAAACCGATTGATCCAGAGCAGAAGCGAACTCAGAGGGGGTACGGGAGCCACACAGGGAGCTGCTGGCTTGCACTGGGGCTAGAGGGTGGATGGCGGTGCTGGGGGAGGCCGAGCGACAAAAAGCGCAAACTGAAATGAAATTTAGCGTAAAAATGGAGATCTTTTGTCCGCGATAAACGTGAGCATTTTGTTTGTCACGACGAAGTGTGCTTTTTTGCGCGACCGTCTGAAGCGGACTTGGATTCGGATTCGGAATAGTAGTCCCATCGAACTCAGGGAGACATTGGTATCCCTAAAGCAAAGGCCTAACATGTACATATGTTCATGTACATATATACATATATTCGTAAATATGTGAACATACTTATCTGAGAGGTAATAAAAAATATTACAATTGATAAAAAAAAACATATGTATATGTATGGGCAGTTCCGCCAAAAGGTCCACCAGGCCAAAAATAATGAAAAGTCATGGAAAAAGATGATTCTTGATAATTTCTCCTTAAAGTCTTTCTAACATATTGAACTACCAAAAAAAATTATCAGAACATTTGTCCAAGGTCGGCTACAAGTGTATTTTTAGGCTTTTATAATCGCGGAATTTGGTAACGTCACGCCAGTAATGTTCGTCAGATGCCTCCGCGGACTTATAGCAAAAAAACAGGAAAGGTTTTTACATTAAATAATTTTGAAAATGAACACTACATATGTATTTCAAATACATGCACGTTTATTAAACAGTAATTTAAGTTATCTATGTTACAGTCATATAAAAACTGTTCTTTGGATAGCGATCATTGGAAAATTCAAAGCCAACGAGAATAATATTGGGAGGAAGCCAAGGGATCGCTTTTGGACCGATGTGACCCAGTTTTCGAAATTCAAATTATTGTACCGATTCTATAGATTTTTTTTTAAAAAAAGTTTTACTTCAACGAAATATTCTTTTTGTTCTCCATATATGTGTACTACGATGCAGTCCACAGGCAGAGTACAGTACGCTAAACTAACAATAATTTCCAAATTTTTCCAGCAAAAATCTAGAGAAATACTGTCATAAGGCAAATCTTATTGTTCCAGAGATAACACAGACGGCACGAAATGCAAAAAATGTGGCAACCGTACTGCTCTTTTTCTCTACTATCTCTCTTTCTCGTTGTCTGTCTCTCTTCTTCCTGCTGTGTCCTGCATTTCTTTGACTATTTCTGCTAATTTGTATGAGTGAACAGCAGCAATCAGCTACAACTACTACAACAATACACTTGCTGATGTTAAGGCCATCCGTTTGCTGCTAAGCTACTTATTCATTGAGTTTTCAAGCGATTTGGAAATAAAATTAAATCAGAGCAATGGATGATTTGAAGATTCTGATTCTGAGTAATCATGATTACTGCTTACTTTACTTGTATTGACAGCACCCACACTGTTACCGATCGTTGAACGACAAGGGTATACAATTTTCGGCGTAGATTTTGTTAGCTTTCGCGTTGAGCTTGTTGCTTTTTTTTTCGCCGCCACACTCTCGTTGACCGAGAGGAACAGAGAGAGAGAAACGACAACGTTTGAATGTGTCGGGGTGTGTGTGTGTCTGACGTTGTGTTAGTGAGTGCGTGAGTGGAAAGGCAACGATATCATCTTCAGGCATAGAGAGAGCGGCGAGCGAGCAAGAGCGAGGCAACCTGCTGCCGCCCGCTACTCCAAAGACTAGCCACCGACTAAGGTTCAAAGTTGTTGTTGCTGCTGTTCGGCCAATTAGTTAGTGGCTCGGTCGCTGCGTAGCGAGCTCCACGAGAGGGGAAAGGTGCTGTACTGCACTAACTCGTAGACAAAGCTCAACTACAATTGTGGCAGCAGGCATAACAGCAGTTAACGCGCTTTATTGTCTGTTTGCAAGTGGCCAACCAACCAACCGTCTCTCTCTTTCTCCCGTGCACACTCCTCCTCACCATCCATTTGTGTGTCTGTGTGTGCGTGAGTTGTTTTATGGGTACAGTGGGCACCACCAACCCAACCATCATGGCGTTGATCATTAGCGTAGATGGTGTTATTATTTGCACGTTTTGTGTGAAATGCACTTTGTCCGCTTCCATTGCGGGTCCGGGTCCGGGTCGGCCACACTCCTCCACTGCCCCAGCTTAAGCCGAGTGCGTTTACTCGATCGACATGAAAAGATTGGGTCCGGGGTTACCAGTGGGCTTTGTTCCTGGCTTAGAATAAATGAATCTTCGTTAAATTTTTGCAGCTGGCAATTAAAACGAAACTGAGGCACACAACATTGGTTGTTACTCCCAGAGAGTTGTGGAAGAATATCTACATACTATGTATGTATGTATGTATCTATTTCCTATGTGACC